TGAGGCAGGAGAATGGCGTGAACCCGGGAGGCAGAGGTTGCAGTGAGCCGAGATTGCGCCACTGTACTCCAGCCTGGGCGACAGAGCCAGACTTTGTCTCAAAAAAAAAAAAAAGTCTTTTTTTAAGACTGGGCACAGTGTCTCATGCCTGTAATCCCAGCTCTTTGGGAGGCCGGGGTGGGCAGATCACGTGGTCAGGAGTTCGAGACCAGCCTGGCCAAACTGGTGAAACCCCATCTCTACTAAAAAATTAGCTGGGCGTGGTGGTGGGCACCTGTAGTCCCAGCCACTCAGGAGGCTGAGGCAGGAGAATCGCTTGAACCCAGGAGATGGAGGTTGCAGTGAGCTGAGATCATACCATTGCAGTCCAGCCTGGGCGACTGACAAGAGTAAAACTGTTGCAAAACAAGAAAAAAAAAGTCTTTAAGCTGAATTTGAATACTCTTTACTTACTATATGTATGCCACACTATTAGCTAAAAGGACTGTTTTTTCTTTTTGCTAGGAGCCGGTAAAACCTGAAGAAGGCAGAGATATGGCAAACAGGATTGGTGCTTTTGGGTACATGGAGTGTTCAGCAAAGACCAAAGATGGAGTGAGAGAGGTTTTTGAAATGGCTACGAGAGCTGCTCTGCAAGCTAGACGTGGGAAGAAAAAATCTGGGTGCCTTGTCTTGTGAAACCTTGCTGCAAGCACAGCCCTTATGCGGTTAATTTTGAAGTGCTGTTTATTAATCTTAGTGTATGATTACTGGCCTTTTTCATTTATCTATAATTTACCTAAGATTACAAATCAGAAGTCATCTTGCTACCAGTATTTAGAAGCCAACTATGATTATTAATGATGTCCAACCCGTCTGGCCCACCAGGGTCCTTTTGACACTGCTCTAACAGCCCTCCTCTGCACTCCCACCTGACACACCAGGCGCTAATTCAAGGAATTTCTTAACTTCTTGCTTCTTTCTAGAAAGAGAAACAGTTGGTAACTTTTGTGAATTAGGCTGTAACTACTTTATAACTAACATGTCCTGCCTATTATCTGTCAGCTGCAAGGTACTCTGGTGAGTCACCACTTCAGGGCTTTACTCATTAACAGATTTTGTTGGCATAGCTCTGGGGTGGGCAGTTTTTTGAAAATGGGCTCAACCAGAAAAGCCCAAGTTCATGCAGCTGTGGCAGAGTTACAGTTCTGTGGTTTCATGTTAGTTACCTTATAGTTACTGTGTAATTAGTGCCACTTAATGTATGTTACCAAAAATAAATATATCTACCCCAGACTAGATGTAGTATTTTTTGTATAATTGGATTTCCTAATACTGATATTTGTCATCCCCAAAGAAAGTGTATTGGTTTTTTAAAAAAGAAAGTGTATTTGGAAATAAAGTCAGATGGAAAATTCATTTTTTAAATTCCCATTTTGTCACTTTTTCTGATAAAAGATGGCCATATTACCCCTTTTCGGCCCCATGTATCTCAGTACCCCTGTCTGGAGCTGGGCTAAGTAAATAGGAATTGGTTTCACGCCTGAGGCAATTAGACACTTTGGAAGGTGGCATAACCTGTCTCACCTGGACTTCAGCATCTGGCTCTAATTCACAGTGCTCTTCTCCTCACTGTATCCAGGTTCCCTCCCAGAGGAGCCACCAGTTCTCATGGGTGGCACTCAGTCTCTCTTCTCTCCAGCTGACTAAACTTTTTTTCTGTACCAGTTAATTTTTCCAACTACTAATAGAATAAAGGCAGTTTTCTAAACTTCCTGTATCCTGTTGTTTGTGTTGCTCTCTCCAGGGCTGGGGGCAGGAGGATGCAAGGACTTCCTGGCCTAGCTCACCCTGGAGAGGTTTGTTCAGGGTGCAAAAGACTAGGTTGTGCCCCACCTCCCACCCACCCAGCAGCTAACCTGGTCCCTCCCAACAATATGGAAATGATTACCCTGTACCGCATTCTAGTTCAGATTTGGGGGGAGGGTGAATGCAGCCTACTGGGGAGGCCAGAGAGGGAGGACTCAGGCCGCGTTTCCTTGGCCCTGACGAGCTTTTGGGCTCCACTTCAGGAAGCTGGGGCAGAGCTTCCAGGACTCTGCCCTGTTAGAAAACCCGCACAAGGGCGGTGCCGCTTTGAAGACAGGGAGGAGGGAGACCGGAAGCCCATATCCCTCTGGCTGTCCCCTGCACTGCCGGTAACATGGCACAGGAGAGGAGGGCTGTTTGCGCACCGGCAGCTGCTGCCGCCGCCCACCAGCCTTATATGCCGAACCCCACATCCTAATTGAGGAGCCTTTGAGAAAGAAAACGGAGCCCTCGAGGGCCCCAGCCCTCGTAAGGGTAACCTGGACCGCTGCCGCCTGGTTGCCTGGGCCAGACAAGACATGCCCGCGGCTCCTCCCGGCTTGGGCGGAGCCCGCGTCCCGCTCGGGCGCACCCTTCAGCCTTTTCCCGGCTGAAGGAGGGGCCGAGCCCTCCGGATAGGGCGGGGACAGGATGAGGCGGGACCCTCGGGTCCAAAAAACTGCCTGCGCCACGTGAGCTGCCGCCGGCCAGTTAAAAGGAGGCGCCTCCTGGCCTCTCCTCACCGTGCTTGTTCGGGACGCTCTCGTAGCTGCTCGGACAGTTGCGCCATGTGTGCTGCTCGGCTAGCGGCGGCAGCGGTGTACGCCTTCTCGGCGCGCCCGCTGGCCGGCGGGGAGCCTGTGAGCCTGGGCTCCCTAAGGGGCAAGGTGCTACTTATCGAGAATGTGGCGTCCCTCTGAGGCACCACGGTCCGGGACTACACCCAGATGAACGAGCTGCAGCGGCGCCTTGGGCCCCGGGGCCTGGTGGTGCTCGGCTTCCCGTGCAACCAGTTTGGGCATCAGGTGCGCCGGGCGGGGCGTGGTGGCTGGGGGTGCCGGCAGGGTGCTGGGGGGTGCCATAGGCTCTATGCGCAGAGAGTCTGGTTACCCTCTCGCTTCCCTTGTGCTTGTAGCTGCTGGAATTCTTGTCCGCCCTGGGATTGCGCATGGATGGCAAAATCCCGGTGACTCATAGAAAAACTCCCTTGTTAGTGGTTAGAACATTTCCCTCCCCCTCTTGACCCCGGGTCCCAGCTGCCCTTCTCTCCCGTAGGAGAACGCCAAGAACGAAGAGATTCTGAATTCCCTCAAGTACGTCCGACCTGGTGGTGGGTTCGAGCCCAACTTCATGCTCTTCGAGAAGTGCGAGGTGAACGGTGCAGGGGCGCACCCTCTCTTCGCCTTCCTGCGGGAGGCCCTGCCAGCCCCCAGCGACGATGCCACTGCGCTCATGACCGACCCCAAGCTCATCACCTGGTCTCCGGTGTGCCGCAACGATGTTGCCTGGAACTTCGAGAAGTTCCTGGTGGGCCCTGACGGTGTGCCCGTACGCAGGTACAGCCGCCGCTTCCAGACTATTGACATCGAGCCTGACATCGAAGCCCTGCTGTCTCAAGGTCCCAGCAGTGCCTAGGGCCCCTTTCCTACCCCGGCTGCTTGGCAGTTGCAGCGCTGCTCTCTGGGGGGTTTTCATCTATGAGGGTGTTTCCTCTAAACCTACAAGGAGGAACACCTGATAATACAGAAAATACCCCCTCGAGACGGGCGCTCGTCCTGTCCATCCCGGTCTCTGCCGGACCAAGGCGAATTTCCCCACTAATAAAGTGCCAGTTGTCAGCAGAACTGTGTGTATGTCCTGTGTCATTTGGGGGATACTTTTTCTAATCTCATTGTCATAGTGGTGGGAACTTAACCCTCCTGCCCTTATCCTAGCCAAGTCTGAACTTTCTGTCCTTTTGTCTGCAGTGTGTAGGGTCCACTATTTCTTTTGTGGGAAGTCTGGCTCTTGGCCTGAATTTCTGCCTTCACCAGAACATGCAAAGGGCCATCCCAAGACCCAGTTAAAACAAAGTCCGTACTTAAAAAAGAAGACACAAGGCAAGGGTTGACTGCCTAACTCTAACAGACTTACGACTACTTGCTGCCCACTGAAATGACTGTCACGAAATAACATGAGCCCCCACTCACATTTGGAGTCTATGGCCGCTCCAATTGTTAGGCTCACAGAAGCCCATTTTACACAGTTGGAAGCTCATGCAATGTTATAAATTCTGTTACTTGGCTAGATCTTTCCATGTTGCTACCAAGTGCTTGTATCTGCTGTGATGCTGATCTTACAAGTTTCTGCCTCATGTATTTAAGAGTGAGAAAACTACAATTTAACTGGCCCTTCTGACTATGCCCTGCCCAACACTTACATGCAATCTCACATTCAGGCCCAGGATAAGGGCTTGTCTTTGAAGCCAGCTGCTGCTTTTCAGGCACCACTCAGGTCCAGCTTCTCCATCTGTTGACCCTGCTGCCAATCTTTCAAGACAGATTTGAAGCCATTTCCTAACGCAGTGCGGGGGACTGCAGGGCCTGGGTGTAGCTTCTGCTTGTGCAAACAGGTGCCCAGAGACATGGCAGTGCTGTTCTTAAGTCCCAGCATTTGCGTTCAAATTGGTGACTCAAGGTCCTTACGTCTGAGCGAACTCTCAAGGACTTTTCCTCTTGCTCTAAGCAGTGATCTTTGCTGCTGCTCTCCCCCTTTGTCTGCCCTTAGGTCACTAAGGATTGTAGGGCCTTCTGGACCTGCTCTGGCTCCATCCTCAGAACTCCTAAACAGGCCCACCTCCCTCTGCTTCTCTCCACCCCAGCCTTTGAGTCCCCCTTGAGGTGACCCAGGCAGAACTATCAGCTTCCCCTTTGGACCTCACTCTACCTGTGTTGTTCCTTGGAACTCTCAGGAGTCTCATGCTCTGTTGCCCAGGCTGGGGTGCAGTGGCATGATCTCAGCTCACTGCAGCCTCCACCTCCCGAGTTCAAGCAATTCTGCCTCAGCCACCCCAGTGGCTGGGATTACAGGTGCCTGCCACCATGCCTGGCTACTTTTTATATTTTTAGAAGAGACAGGGTTTCGCCATGTTGACCAGGCTGGTCTCGAACTCCTGAGCTCAGGTGATCTGCCCGCCTAGGCCTCCCAAAGTGCTGGGATTACAGGCGTGAGCCACTGAGCCCTGCCAGAGTGGAATGTTTTTATATTAGTAGACCAATATTTGTGATGAATATCATATGCCGGGCCCTGGGGGCCCTGAGATGGCCAGCCCCAGTACTCCTCTTAGACTGTTAACCTCTGGGGAAGAAGATTAGTCATTCACAAATGCAATCAAGACTCCTGAGTGGCCAGTCACGGTGGCTCACGCCTATGATCCCAGCACTTTATAATCCCAAGTAATCCGAGGTGGGCAAATCACTTGAGGCTAGGAGTTGGAGACCAGCCTGACCAAAATATGGTGAAACTCCTGTCTCTACTAAAAATACAAAAATTAGCCAGGTGTGGTGTCGGGCGCCTGTAATCCCAGCTACTTGGGTGGCTGAGGCAGGGAGAATTGCCTGAACCTTGGAGGCAGAGGTTGCAGTGAGCCGAGATCACGCCATTGCACTTCAGCCTGGGCAACAGAGCGAGACTCTTTTTCAAAAACAAAACAAAACTCCACTCAAATGGGACCAAGGCTTTTTGACATTTGTAGACTTCAAATCTGACTCCTGGAATGGAGAGTAGCAACCTGTAAATCTGGGTAGAACCAGATTACCTGTGACCCCTAATGTCCTACATGTCTCTTCCCCAAAAGCACTTTGCTCCCTTATTCTTTCATAATCCAGTCCTGTGCCATGTGCTCTGCCAAGTGCCTGAAGAAGTCAGAAGGACAGTATATAATTATCAAAAAAGCATGTTTTGTGCTTTGAGAATAGGAAAAACAAAAAATTGTGTACCTTACACTGGTTTAAAAAAAAAAAAAGAATAAGAGGACCAGGCCCAGTAGGGAGGATCATGCACACCTCCTGGAAAAAGTGACAGTGAGGCCACGTGCAGTGGCTCACACCTGTGATCACAGCACTTTGGGAGGTCGAGGTGGGTGGACGGCTTGATGGCTTGAGGTCAGGAGTTCAAGACGAGCCTGGCCAACATGGTGAAACCACGTCTCTATTAAAAATATGAAAATTAGGCTGGGTGCGGTGGCTCACTCCTGTAATCCCAGCACTTTGGGAGGTCGAGGCAGGCAGATCACGAGGTCTGGAGATCGAGA